GTCTTTTTCACTTCCAAAAACGGTATACTACCGTAAAATTAATGTCCAATACATGTAATGTCCAATACAGTTTTTCACCGTATATAGTAGGGGAATTTACTGTTAACCATTTAACAGGTTTTTACTGTAGCATTTTTCCAGTCTTTTACCGTTAAATTCACGGTCATTTTTTAGTGTAGTAGGAATTTGATGAGAAGTGTAAAATATCTTTTGAAATTAGTATCTTGGCACATATAGAGGAAGAGACTTGCGTGAATCCTGTAGGTTTTCTGTTGTTAAAACACCTTATGAATCTGTGAATTTGTGAAGTTTGTCCAACTAATAGAAGAAAAATCATTATTTTTACATGCCAGACAACTGCGGTCTAAATTTGTGTTCACATTTACTGTTGTTCATTGAGTTTTTGCGGGTTTAGCGAAACTCAGTCCACCTTATTTGTTCCCGTAAGTGCGCCCTCTGCCATTTTTGTAAATTTAATGCGTCTAGCCCATAGATACAGTATGTATATCTATGGTCTAGCTAGCCAGCGTCATTCACTTCCAGCTATTTTTAGCTGTAAAAAACAGCTCGTTTTGCTGATTGATATTACAAAATGTTGTGTCTTACCATATTATTTTAATGTACTACCTTAATTATGAACACACTGGTTTGCGGTGCAAACGGTTTCACCGTTTACTGCACTGTTATTCTTCTTGTTATTTTCCTTCAGCGGCTAATGAACCGGAAGTCTCGCACATTCACAGACAACGGCTTACCTCTGCGTTGAAAATTTTATTTCGAGTAAAGATGCTGATTTCACACCAGGTTCAGTTGGTCACATGAATTTGCTGGATTGACCAACTGAAACTCTTCTAATGTGACCGCAAAAGAGAAAAACCTGAGATATTACTACAGTATCATAGAACTTCAGCTCTTGAGCTAAAACTGGACAACTGTGAAAGTAGTTACAGTTGCTTTTTCACCGGAAGCCGATATTTACAATTATGTAAAATCAATGCAAAGGCTCAAAAGCTTATTTTCCCCATCTGAACAGCATGTGTGTATGTGTGTGTGTGTGTGTGTGGAGGGAAAAAGAGGGACATGTGTCTTCATTTCCCTTTACGCCCGATTTCCTCTTTGACTGGATGTGAACCCTCCCCTGCAGCGAGTAGTGAGTGTGCACCTGCGCTCTCCCATGCCAGGCAAGAGAAAGCTGATTTGGCTGGGCTTCATTTGCAAAGGTATCCCACAGGTCAGCTAGGGGTCAGCCAGAGGTGACCGAAAGGTCGGCCAAGCCCTTGGGTATCTCTCCAAAGACCTGTGCTTCTCCCACAGCTCCTCTCTCATTGCATTCGGCCCTGTCAGGTCACAAAGATATCAATTCCCAACGCCACACAGATCCAAAGCACCACATAATCCTTCCCAGTCCTTAAAATGCTAACATACACATCCTCTCTGCTGTAGACTTACACACACACACACACACACACACAAACATCCCTGTCCTCTGCTTGCACACACTGTGCTATTTCAGTGGCGCTAACAGCAGTGTAGCACATCTCTCCCACCGAGGCACTGCTCTGTCACAGGCTGCTGTGTATTGATCTGCTGCTGGCTATAAATGAGCCGCTGCGGTGGCATCCAGCCTGCTTTTGCACTGAGCGAAGGTATTGAGCTGACTTCCAAACTGCAGTCTCAACTGACTTCTATTAGTGCTTCCTCTTATCAGTCAAACAGTGCACAGAGACAGGAAATGCAATTGATCTAGAGGAAGAAATCACTATAAGTCATATTTAACTTACACAACCCCTATCAAGCTTTGCAATGAGACAACATATATGCACATTTAAATCTGTTGCATTTATCTTTATGTTGATAAAGGCTGCTGTTGAAAATGGTTCTGATACATTATAATTTGATGTTTCTATTTTAATTTAATAAGAAAAAATTTGAAATTAAAATATTTTACTTTACTTAATAAATATAATATACTATAATATATATATATGTGACCCTGGAGCACAAAACCAGTCTTAAGTCGCTGGGGTATATTTGTAGCAATAGCCAAAAAACATTTTATGGGTCAAATATATATAATAATTATAGATATTATAATTATTTCAATTATAATATCTAATTATTTTAAACAACTAATTACAATATTATATAACTACAATTAATACAAAGTTACTGCATGTTTGTGACAAATGAATGGCTTTAACATCAGTAGTTAATTGTGCTGCGATTACATCTAGTGGTGAAACAGCAGAACTACACGTCTTAATATGGAACTGCACAATACACAAGAAAAACTGTGAAATTGACAAACACAAAGCCTTTTATTTTGGTAAGACACTTGCACTTAAAACGGCCAGTCATGACAAAAAACGACATTTTAAATATATAAAAACGTTTCATCTCCATAGACAGTCTATAATAACAAACAACTTTTTGCATGATTATCCTTCAGCAGTATCATTAAAAACTAGAGCTGGGCAACGATTTACATCTTTAACCGCGATTAAACGCATGATTTTCTGCGATTAATTGCATTGTTATGCACAAAATTCAATAATGCACTTTTTTCATTTAAAAGTACTGCTATATGAACAAAAGTGCAATAACATTTGATTCGCAAACATTTTAAACAAATAAGGTGCTTTTTTAACACCAGTATTCCTTTTACATAGCCTAGTAGCAGTTAAAATATTTCTTGTAAATCTCAACTTATAACATTAATGTAATCAAATTAAATATAAAACCAAAGCTATTTGCCACTGCCAGGGCATTAACGTTTTTATAGAAAATATTTTAGAGTTTGTTATAGAAAAAAAAGTTATGTTCAGAATCCAGAGCCTCGATCATAACATTATAACAGGCACCTTCCGAGTAGAGACCTGCACGATCGCGGGACCCAACGCAGCAGAGTGCGGCGCGGGACACTTGATGGGCGAGTGCGGGTGCGGGCGGGTAGAGACTCGTGTGTGCGGGATGCGGGCCAATAATTTTCTCCTATTAAATTCGGATAAGATATTATTTTTATGAGCAAGGCACCGAACCCCCAACTGCTCCCCGGGCGCCGCAGCTTAAATGGCTGCCCACTGCTCCGGGTGTGTGTTCACGGTGTGTGTGTGTTCACTGCTGTGTGTGTGCACTTAGGATGGGTTAAATGCTGAGCACAAATTCCAAGTAGGGGTCACCAATTGTCATCGTTAATCAATGAATGCGTTAACGCGATAACGCGTTCACTTGCCCAGCCCTATTAAAAACAAAACAAATAAGTAATTATTCTGAGTTAACATAAAAAAAGATGACATACTATATGACAATGATATGCATATTTAAAAAAAATAACAACAGTAAAAATACAAAATATTTATACAATATAATCAGTCCTTCAGTGGATACTACCATTTATGATTTATCTGTTATTTGTTGCAATAGTGTGCATAGTAAACTATTTTATTTCTTAATATGCATTTTGATATGAAAGCCTTTTTTTTCTTTTTATTTAAAGAACATATTTTTTCTTCTTTTTACTCTAAATTGAAAGTAAAATAGTAAATACTAAAAGAATAACATTAAACAAAATAGTAAACATGAATTTTAGTACAATCTCTGTCAATGAATAGGCCTTACATGTGACGTCAGAAAGTGCTTACAAATTTTTACTTACAACCTTTAGCCTTTTCCTAATTTTTCCGATACACTTGGGCAAAGTGTTTTAAAATATGTGCCACAGTTCAAGTTTACAAAGTAGAGGGCAAAACATGCATGAGTCATAAGCAGCTGTATCTGTGGACTTTTTCATGTAACCTTGCTCCTCTGTGAACACAAAGGCATCTGAAAGCAGCTCTCTGTATTTCTTTCTTTTTCTATGATCTATAGAATCTGACTGTGCTAAAGCCTGTGAGAGTGAATGTTGTTGTACCCAAAACAAATTGATGCTGACATTTGAAAACTTTGTGGAAGAGTTTCATGGAAACGCTGTACAGGCATTTGTCAGTGCAGCGCCATCAGTTTTAGAATTCTGAAATGATTTTTTTACATTTTTTTTGTAAGATCAAGTATGCGGTTTCTAAAATTCTAAGCATTTAAATGTCTCATCAGTCCTTCAGGTCAGTGTATCAAAAGATATATTCCATCAAAGTTCACGCTCAATGCTTAATTATTTTAAAGTTTAAATAACGGAGAAAACCAAAGTCTTGTCATTTCTCTCTCATTAGATTATCATATATTATACATTTCTTTCCTTAAAGAAATATATAAATAAAATCTCTCATTTCTGACATTAAGTCTTCTTTTTTACATAAAAAAAAAACTGTCACACAATCAAAAAAACAAAAAACTTAAAGTAATTCAATGAGAAAAAAAAACAAAAAACTGATTTTCATCAATATTAATGCCATATTCTGGGACATTTTTGAAGTTACAATAAACAGAATATAAATACTAATAAAAACATAAAATGATACTTTTTACAGTTTAGACAAAGCTACTTTGTACTTCTAATGAGTAAACATACCAAGAACCCTCACGCAGGCGTCTAAGCAGCAGCAAAAAGCGCAATGGACTCGCCAGATGGTTTCTCCGAAACAGACTCCAGATCAATAGTTGGGGTTATGGACTTTTTCAACCTCTGTGACAGAGATAAAGAGCGGCACTGGGCTCATTTTGATTTGAAAACAAATATTGATATAGAGAGTGTTTGCGCACCGTACATACCTGCAGCAGAGACCCTTCTGTGGTCCAAAGCTCATGTAGAGCCCCCAGTGGAATCCAGATGATGGAGACGAGAGAGATGAACCAGCCCACCACCTCTGCCCACAGCGGGTATGTGTAGGACTTACCGTATCGAGCTGGAGTATACTGAACAATACTGGAGATCAGAATACCCTGCAGAGAGAGACAGGAAACAGGACATTATTATTCATTCAGAGTAAAGCGTTATATCCCATCTGACCTTTCAGATCTGCACTTGCAGACACACACCAGACTCTACTTTATAAACATCTATCACTAAACAGTAAATGGAATGATTTTAATGTCCTTAAATTGAGAAAAGTGAATTTAAAGGGATAGTTCACCCAAAAATAAAAATTCCGTCATTAATTACTCACTCTCTCATGTCATTCCAAACCCATAAGAGCTTTGTTAAACGTTGTAACACAAATTAAGATATTTTTTATTAAATCCGAGAGCTTTCTGACCCTGCATAGACAGCAACACAACTGGCACATTCAAGGCCAAGAAAAGTAGTAAGGACATCGTTAAAATAGTCCACGTGACATCAGTGGTTCATCCTTAATTTTATGAAGCTTCGAGAATATTTTTTGTGTGCAAAAAAAAAGAAAGAAAATGACTTCATTCAACAATATCTTCTCTTCATGTCAGAATTTGAGGCACGTTCACAAGAGTTCCACATCACATTTGGAACAACATGAGGGTGAGTGATTAATGACAGAATTTTCAATTTGGGGTGAACTATCCCTTTAAGGTAGGATGCCTGGATCCCATGTATAAGGATGTGTGCACAACACAATCTGACAAAAAAGTGAGTTCTGTCATTGATTTTGTTTCAGTTCACTGCTACTTAATGGAAAAAAGAGAAAACGTGTCTTGTTGGAAAAAAGTGACTATTTTCAAGTCATCTGAGCTTTGAAACCATTTATTCTGGAACAGATCTATAGTTGTCAACGTTATGAAATATAGAGGATCCCAAAATGTCCGGTTTTCTTTTTTTCTCACCAGCACAAGCATGGGTGACAGGAACTGCCAGCAGACACGGAAGAAGAGGTTTGGTTTCTTCCCCAGCATATTCTCCAGCATTATACTGAGTCGTCTCACTCCTGCGAGAGAGCACGAAAGAGGTGAGATAAAACCTTCATATCTCAATAGGAGCTGTGCTTCAATGGCTGCATCTGGTTGTCTGTGATCTTGAAGTGCAGACTGAAGGAAGTGAAATTCACCAAATATGAGCGTGATGGCGAGCACCTCGAAGAAGGCCAGAAACATAAGAGACACCACAGCTGTGTAGTGATCCATCAGCTGAAACACATATATCCCACCCTGCACACACACACACACACACACAATATTATTTCACTACCATCAGTTTTGTGTCATAATCAAAACAATGACTATACAGCAGATATATATGCAATGGAAAATGGAAATGGCCTTTAAGTTTTCCAGTAATAATACTACATCATTTTTATCTATGGAAGAAATATATGTTTGTTATGGTGTCTTTAATGGTGTCTAAACTTCAGTAGCAAAAACGCCAGTTTGTAAGTTTGATTCATTTTAGTAAATCAGTTCAAACTGTCCATTTCAATGCATCTATTTCATTATATTCTCATTGAAGGTCATTTTTCACACATTAAAATTAGTTAAAATATGTAGATATTTTGCCTCTTCTGAATCAATTCCCTAGAGAAAAATAATATACTAAAATGCATTTGAAATACATTTATTTCATGCTAAGTATACTACAAATGCATTTACATATTTGTGTATTTAATAAAAATACCTTGCAATTGTATTTCTGGTATACTAAACTGGTATACTTAAGGTCTGCTAAATAGGAACAACTAATTTTGTACTTAATGCACTTTATTTGTGTGGAAGTAGAACTGAAGTCAAACTAAATATATACTGAAGCATATTTGATTCTGCTAAAGTGGAAATATTTCAATTATACTTCAGGTACACTTTAACTATCTTGCATTCAAAGACAGATATTATTCAAAGATCAAACAATCCTCATCAATAGTGACATTAAAACACATTTTAGGCTTAATATTAAGAAATGTGCAGTGTGCACAAGTAATACTCCAAATACAGTTTAATTATAATTTTTATATCAGTAAGTCTCGAGCGATATGTCAGTAAATAATTTAATAGATTTGAACTATACTTAGTATGAAATAAATGTATTTTAAATATATTACTGTTTTACTAGGGGTTTTACTCGTTGAATCAATTTATTTATAAGCTCTAAAATTGTTTAATTTCAAAAATATACTGGGAAAAAAAAAAACTGAGAAATACTGGGATATAATATCCTTCATTTGTTTTCTCAAACTAAAACTATGTTCCAAGTGTCAAGTGTTAACAGTTCCAGGAACAGTCTTATACTCGATCCAAGTATAACAAAATCTCAACTATAAGAACACATTACTTGTTTATGAAGTGAAACTAGATCATATTTACCCTGGTAATGTGAGGGATCCCCAGCAGAAATCCAACACTGCACACTGCCAGAACAATCAGCTCCTTCCTCTTAAAAACTTGCAGAACTTTCTTGCCAAAACCGTCCATGATGAAAGTTACAGCCACTTCCACCATGGCAAACTGCACAGTGTACATGTAAACATATAATAGGTCAAACTGCACAAACACATGTTTATAACTCTGTTGAAACACCTGGTGAGTTGGGAATTTCCCTTATTCTTATCACCTTTCCACACACGAGACATTTTCACATATTATACTGCTCCATCTAAACACATGTGGCATGGATTTTCCAGCTGCACTCTTATCTCTCATCTTGCTAGCAAGATTGTGTTGACCCTGACTCCTTTACAGTTGTGTCTTTTCTATGTGTGCACCAGCTTTTAGGACCAGTGATCTTGGTCCTTAAAACTCTGAATTATGTTTTTTGGCAGTACAGAAACATAGCAATAAAAGCTGTGAAGCAATCATAAAGTGAATCCTTTTTTAGCTCAAGAGATTCATTAAATTTCCTGCTAGATTTCTGCTTGTCAACAAACCTAGAGAACACACAAGGACATGGGAGGACTGGGATGCACAGCTGCAGAAATTAACGAGACAGATGAAAGAAAATAAAATGAACAAATATGCCATCTGTGGCCTATCAAAATTTACCAAGGCAGCATTATGTTTATACTTTGCACAGAAGACAATTGCAGAATGCACTGTGACAAAACTGATCCGATAAGGTGGACAGAATGCATGGAATTGTTGATTATAAAGGTTAAAGACATCAGTTTAGCACTTTTTGAGAGAGAAAACAAGTGTGTCCTGTGTGAATGGCTTCTTAGATGGTAGCTACCTGTTTTATGTGGGTATTAGACAGAGAGGAAGCTTACTAGGGATTGAAATTGTGTTTTGAGGCCGATTCTACCTGACTGTCCAATCCAAGGCAGAGTAACATGATGAAAAACAGAGGAGCCCAGAGCTGAGAGACTGGCATAGTGGAAAACACTTCCGGATACACCACAAACACCAGACCAGGCCCTGCAAGAAAACACACCCACAACATCACTCTCTTGGCCAACAAAGAGAACCAGATCTTTCATTGTTTTGAAGAATCTCCGCTTGACAAATTTTGTCATGTTTAATTCCATTTAAATTCTGCACTTTTCCACCAAAATCAGTGCAGAAAAAAAAAAAAAGAAACAAACAAACAAAAAAATAACACAGGAGATGGAGACTAAAAAGAATGGGAAAAGAAGCTGGAGAAAATAATTTTTAATTTTCAATGGGATTAATGACAGAATTTTCATTTTTGTGTGAACTAACCCTTTAAGGAGAGAGAAAAGAGAGTGAAGGAACAAAAGTGACAAAGACATTAAACTATTTGTTATGATGAATACTCCGCAAAGCCACTGAACAACACAACTGTAATTGTATTTCTCAGAACAAAACATCTGTCTGCTGTTCTGAGAGATAAAGGATGACTGGGTGAAATCGTGCTGATAAGGTGAAAATAGTTGAGGCAGGAAGTAAGTGCATCCTCAAAAAATACATAAATATATCATACAAAATATGATATTGAACAGTGTGCGAACTCATCATTTTTGGCAGCATCTCTGTGTTATCCTTGAGGTCTTAATGGGTTAAACTGGTGGAAATTGATGGACTCGGATGATAACATGTTTTACTAAACTGCTGTAATATAAACAAAAAATATTATGATATGGTAAACTGCTGTGAAGTTCTCTTGAGGGCAGCTCAACTCAAGGACATGCTTTTATCATTGTTTTTTGTTTTCACATTGTTCTACTCAGCCTACCTTGGTACATTTCTTCCATGAATAGTCCCTTTATTTTTTTTCTCTGGCCTAATCCTATCCACCCTTCACCTCCTCTCACACTTATCCTCTCTCTGGCAGTACGGAACAAAAACTTTTCTGAAAAAAAGCTGGAATTATCCCACTGCATTCTCATTTCATTAGCTTGCATGGCGTTGACATCGACTTCCTTAGGCCTGTTTTGTGCATGAAAGTTTTGATTATTTATTTATATCAGTGCCCATATTCATAGGTCACAGAACAAGACACTGGCAATGTAAAAACTGCTGTGTAGATTAATTAGGATTTGGAAGTAAATGTGATTGCCCTACTCGGAGCATTTGATTCCCCACAGAGCACAACAGCAAAGAGCATTGTGATCCTTGTGACAAAGAGCATTGTGACAGCTTTGTGGTCCTCTGGTCCTTAAAACTAAATTGTGATTCTTGGCCGTACAGAGACACAGCAATAAAACCAGACAGTAAAAGTGGGTTCAACAAACCTTGAAATGCACAAGGACAGAGGAGGACTAGAATCACAGCTGCAGAGACTGATATTACAGAGAAAAGGAAAACAAACTTACCATCAGTGGCAATGTCATCTACAGGTAGGTTGTGAATGTGGGCCATGTACCCAATGGCAGAGAAAATAACAAACCCGGCCACGATACTAGTGGCTGAATTAGCCAGAGAGACGATATAGGTGTCCCTGTAAAATAAAAGGCAAAGAGCAACAAAGAGAATGAAACATGTTTTCCTGGAAGATAACAGACCCTTTTAGCTCTGATCAGTGTAAAAAAAACTTACAGGCAAATAAAAAGGAAGGTTACAATTTGAAAGCTACACAAGTACACATTTTTTGTTTACTTAGATACATTTAATTAAATAAGCTTTTAAAATGTAAAATGTTAACTTGTTATTACTAAACCTGAGGATGTTGTTGTTGAACTTGTTGTAACTGGCCATAGATATCATAGAACCAAAGGAGATGCCGATGGAGTTAAAGATCTGAGCAGCAGCATTGACCCACACCTACAACGTAAGTTTAACAAACACATACAAGCACAGGGTTTTATTTTTGTCCTGTGTTTTAATAAAACATGAACAGGAATCATATTTCACGTTTGCTTTACTATATGGAATTACTAGGACTCTCAATTGATCTAAATATTTATTAGCAATTAAATCACAGCTTTTGCACAGTTAACATTTTTATGAAAAGAAAACAAAGTAACGTGCGAATTTTGGGTTTGGCTAATTGTATAAGCATTTATAGAAGCAACACAAATAGAAACAGGGGAAATATGTGTCATGAAAAATAAAACCTGCCATTCATTCAATGCCCCAGTTTTTCCAAAGATTTTCCAGTGTTAAAGTTATTATTTTAAAACTACTCCAGAGTCCAGACCTGTTGATTATCTTCACCAAGTGCTAATTACATGTCATATGGTAAACCACCACAATTCCCACAGTAATGCTGTTGTTTATCAGTGGTACTACAGTAATGATGTGGTAGCATGTAAACAGCTTCTAGTTTGTTTTTAACACTATGTGACTTGAATGGTTTTCACATGTGATCTCACCTGGACTTCCAAGAGTTTACTCCAGTTTGGCATGAGAAAGAAGAGAATGCCATCTCTTGCTCCAGGCAACTGGACATTATTGACCAGCAATGCAAACAGTATGAAATAAGGGAACGTGGCAGTAAAGTACACAACCTATAGACAGAGGTATTTATATTTGTGATAACAAGGCAAATACATGTGCGCACACACATATATATATATATATATATATATATATATAGATATATAATTATTTTACATGATTATATTATTTTTTATCAATAATTTTATTTCCATCATTTTCTTGTATTCACCTAAAATATGAAATATGTTAAATACGGTTACTTTTACAGTTGACATACTAAGCCTTATTGTATACACACCAACATATTGTTTATCTTTAACTATCCATTTGTAGTTTAAACATGCTATTGTGTCCCATATTAAAGGCTTAATTTATAAATGATGTGAGCTTTGAACTCGGACCTTTCCGGTGGATTTGACTCCTTTAAAGATACAGAAATAAACAATGGCCCAGGCCAGGACTAGAAGGCCAAAGAGTTCCCAACGAATCCCTCCAGCATGCTCAATCCCTGTGGTCATTTCTAAAACCTTATGACTGGGGGAATAAAAAAAACAAAACATTTACAAAGCACAATCACACAACAGAGCAAATTTATATCAGTCTCAGGAGTCTGACATTACATTGACTTGATTCATAGAATAAACCTTAAAATATATTGTTAAAGGTTCATTAAAGCTTCATTAATGCCCATCATTTCATAGGACATTCGTTATTACTACACACAATGAGACGGCACTCTTTAACTTTTCCAAATGTTCCATTTACATTGATTACAGGAAATTCAACAATACAGAGTGATACACAACTATAATCCATGACAAAAAGTCAAGCATTCCCACCAAATATGGCATAAAGACCGTAAACAAATTAAAATGTGTTACTCACTCAAAGAACTGTTGACTGGCTGATTTCAGATGTGTGGCATTGCCAGGAAAACCAGTGGAACAGTTGCCAACTGCATTCCATGTGTTGTTGCAGGACTGCCATGGCAATGAGGGGCTGAAAGAGTGAAGCAGGTAGTAGAGAGCCCAGGTCATGAGCACATTGTAGTAGGTGCAGAGCACGTAAGAAATCACCACCGTGGCAAGCCCCACACCTGAAGACAGACAAAGAAAGCGTGAGACACCAGGAGACGCCACCTTGTCCAAGCCTTTCACTGCTGAACAGACTCACATTGGAACAGCGACTAGGGCTCTTCAGAGGCTCTGAAATGTTTCGTTTTTGTTTTAGAAGAAAAAGAATAAAACTGTTGACCCCCAGAAGTACATTTTTAGGTTAACATACAGGTTCCAAAAGAACAAAGCAAATCTTCAAGACAGATGTTTTAGGTCAAGTTATATTAAGAGGGCTCTATCTGAAAACATTTCTAAACATATGCTAAGAAAGAAAAACTTTTCAGCAGTTGCTCATGATTCTTGTTATCCTTTTTTATTAAATATTTTTTGGTGGCTGGCCAAAACAACCAAGGCTAATGCAAGATGTTCTAGCAGATTTGAATCAGAAAGCCTTTTTTTATTGAGGATTGCATGAATGAATCAATTAAGGCGGTTCAAATCTAGCTTGCGCTCATATATTATATATATATAATATATTTATATATATATACAATTATATATATATATATATATATATATATATTGAGTACAAACCTTAATGTTTAAGCATATAATGATATTCTAGGGAATTGTGTGCTTTTAATTTTATAGCAACAGTTTGGACAGGACCCGTTTCTATTCTAAAATGACAATGCCACTATGTATAAGGCAAGGTTAAAAAAGAAATGATTGATTCAGTCAGTGAGGAAGAACTTGACTGGTCTGCATAAAGCAAAGTCCTGATCCCAGCTGAACACCTCTGGTGTGATTTTAAATGCACACCTTAAGCCAAAAACTCATTACCAAACACCAATGACTAGTACATAGGGGTACAGTCATTTTAGACACTTCCAAAACTGTTGCAAAAGAGATGGAAATATAATTCTTAAATACATGAATTATGTTTCCATCTATGTTGCTACAGTTTTGGAAGTGCCTTTTTCTGTTTTAAAAGAAGGGGGTGTAGAAAAACTTTTCAGCAGTTGCTCATGATTCTTGTTATCCTTTTTTATTAAATATTTTTTGGTGGCTGGCCAAAACAACCAAGGCTAATGCAAGATGTTCTAGCAGATTTGAATCAGAAAGCCTTTTTTTATTGAGGATTGCATGAATGAATCAATTAAGGCGGTTCATTGTCCATATAGTGTATGTACAAGTCATTGGTGTTTGGTGATGAGTTTTTGGCTCTCCATTAACATTAGGTCAAAGAGAAACAACTGAAGTCTCTTTCAAGGAAAGTCTGTTCACTCGGCGGCCATATTTGCAACGCCTCCGGGCAGCTCATCCAAGACCAATTCCTATCTAAATGAATGGAGGAATCCTGAAATCTCAAACATTGTTCACTGAACTCGCAATTAAATTACATATTTTAAATCAGCAACAAAATCTGAAATGAACTGCCCCTTGAATGTTGTTTCTTATGCTCAAATAGCATTTAAAAAGCTTATTTTTATGACACTGATTTGATTTTCTTCCATGTTTTGATACTCGCTTTAAATCCATGGATTAGCTATCGTCACTCTACGTGGATCTTGGCATTATTTTGTATTCCTTTCCCACCGTCTAAATGGAATGTTCACTAGTTGTTTCAGGCCTGAATAGTAGAAAGCTCTACAAACAGGAATGTTGTTGTTGGCACGTTCCGTGCTGCCCTCTAAGGTCACCCAGATTCCCTCAGTGCCTTTTGGTCTCCTGAACTTAAGCCTAAATGAGTTCACTGCTTCAGTAAAACTATAGATCAGAGGCATTATGGGATCATTGGATGCTCTACTGGAAATCCAGAATCAACAGTGAATCTAAACGGTTTTGTTTTTGCATGACCATGGTTACTATCCACTGCACGTAACATTATTGTAAACTTTGTGTTGCTCTGAATTTTATTTCATAAACAGATCTGTTATTAAAATGTTTGTATGCACCTAAAATTGCATCACATATCATTAAAAGGGGAAACACTATTTGGTTTGTAAATATTTATTACATTTCAAAGAGTAAATCAACCCCAAAATCTGTATTATAATTATTTTCTTATGGAGAAACCTGGGCCCCAAACATTTAATTGGGTCTATAGATGATCAGCCAAAGTGATATCAGCCATCAGCAAATGTATGTATGCGTGAACAGATAAAAAACAGATCTGCATTGAGAGATATTAAGTTGCATTAATTAAAACTATATGCCGAAATTTTGTTTCTGTGACAAATACTATAAAAAGAAAGGCATTTTGGCCAGCTGCCACACAAGTTTATCAGGGCTGCATTTCCCAAAAGCATCGTAAGCCTAAGTTGATCGTAGATCCATTGGTGGCAATGGGTCTACGATGTACTTAGGCTTACGATGCTTTTGGGAAATGCAGCCCAGTACAGTTAGAAAAAGTCTTTTTTTGAGAACAGATGAAATATTTTTCAGAACCCATAGAATTCATCTTCTCTGATGTACCACATGCAATTCTACCACCCGTTCCACATTCTGAGAATCACATTAGTGCTGTATGACTAAACATAATTACATGCACTCTCTCTCTATCTCTTTCCTGTTAAGTGCACAAATAAGCCACTCTAATGTCTTATTCTGTCTTATACTGAGCTGAATGGTGCCATTTTGACCATGGCACCTTGTTAAGTCACGCAACCCTGATGTCAACACCTGATGAAAGACTAACCCATGAGGAAATGATTACCCCAGAGACAGAAAGGTTACTTAGGTGTGAGGTTACTTTACTGAGCATACCAAGATAGATAATGCAGAAGTAAAAGGAAGAGCTTTATAACAAAGGAGAGCCACTGAATAGCCCATTGCTCACTTTTTTAGGTGGATTGTCAGAACATCACAAAGAATGTGTCATAAGGGTACATTTCAGTCAAAAGAATATACAGAAAGAACTACCTGCTTCAGTCCCTCTGCTAGCAAGGAGCCATAATCGGCTGAAATGAGCGCTATATCAAGGGACGGACCCAAAAGATTTGACCGGGTAGACTATCTCTGTCTTTGAGGAAAGAAGTCCTTAGTTAGCAGGTGAAAGAATGTCAAAAAAAAAAAAAAGGAAAGAAATCCAAATGACAAACAGTGATGGCTGAACATCTTAATGTTGACACTCACTTTGGTCACAAATAAGTTGCCCTCAATTTACATAAAATGGCATTATTTAAAAAAAAATTATTTTATTTAATTGTTTTTTTGTTTGTTTTGCAACATGTAATCATGTAGATAATAGTATTATTGTTTTTAATATTTTATGACATAACAATTAATCATAACCTGTGAATAAATAAATGAACTAAAATAGATTTATTTCCAAATATTCCAAATGAAATGGTCTCGAGGCTCAGGTTGAAATTGACTCAATGATTTAAAAATAGTTCTTCCAGTTTATTATCAGTAATAAAGATTTTTCACTTAAAAGTGATGAGGATTCTAGAAGGAATATTGTTGTTTGCACATTAACAATGCATGATTTCATAAACATAGGAATTCAAATATGAAGAGGTTGATTCAGATACAGAAAACTGAGTAGAAATAAGGTAAACACAGTAGAGATCAGCCATCACTAGATCATCAGAGATCAAGCATCATATAATTGCAGGTCCACACATTTTATAGGGAAAATAGACAAGCTTTGCAGTCAGTATCCATGCTTGAACTGCCACGTCAAAGCAAAGAGACGAGATCAACCACTAAACATAGTCCAGCAAAATGATAAGAGTTGCAATGCTTAAAATAAATACCTTTTAGCAATTTCATAAAATAAGTATGTTACTGTAACACTGTTCAGTGATATATGATGAGCATTCACCTTTGTTGACACAATAACCAACAGAAAAAAGCAGGACATAAATAATCACTGGGAAACAAAAAAACAAGGTTTTACAAGAATTTATATAAAAACTTTGGGTTTGAGACTTTAGTCTTTGCAACTTCAGGGATCTTATCTATGCACAATCAGCTTGTAACACTCCAAAGAGAAAGGAAAACTTGAAATTGCATCATATGACCCCTTTAAATGATTTATTCCTTGAACTCATTTGATGTCATTGAACAGATTTGAACAGTGGTAAGAGTTGAGCAGGAGGCTATTCGTGTGATTGAAATACTGGAATGTCCCATACAACATATAAAATAAAAAGACCGGCCATTTGCTTGGACTATGTTTGGATGGCAGAATTGAACACAGGAGATGTGAGGGATTAGGGCACAAGGACCACTCACCTTTGAAGAGGGGACATATTTTAGCCAGAGAGTGGACCGGCCCCAGACGGGTGTACTGCCCAACAGTGAACTCCATGAACAGCAGTGGGATACCACAGAGAAACAACATGATCAAGTAGGGAATCAAGAAAGCACCTGGAACATATGAAAGATTGGAAATTGAAACATGATAACAATAATTGATTTGAAATGATTAAATATTCTTGAAATAAAACTGAATTTGTTTTTAATAAAAATATTGTTTTGCTTCAGCGGTCACAAATGTATTTTTGTCTTCATAAAACTGACAGGGATACATCAAAAGAATATTAACGATAGTCGGATAGTCTTGTAATTCCATTTTCTACCCCGCAAAAAGTCATTCTGTGAGGTTAAAACGATTTTCTTGCAACTCATATTAATGCGAATTTACCATAAAAAGAGGTAAAAAAGAGGTCTTTCAGGAGAGCAAGATGATTTATTCACATGCTCTAATAAATAAAAAGGTCTTGCCACAGATATCTTCCTTATGACTTCAAAACTTTTTTTAAGATTAAAAAAAAAAAATCAAAAATTTTGGGTCATGAATGGTTTTGAAAACACAGGTGCAGAAAGAAAACATTCATCTGGACAATATGTATATGCACTGAACAAACTAAAACTATATGGAGCGATACAAACATGAAGCAATGGGAGGCAGGATTGTCTGCTGTGAACTTTAAATATCACAGATCACTGCTTACAGTTTTATTGATTATTACTCTCGGAACAGTATATATCGCATCTCTTCAAACATTTTAAACAATTTAAATCATTTTGGCACGCATCTGGTATATCTTTTCAAGATTTTTTTTTAACAATTGAAAATACTGTATATGGAATTTGCCAACCCAATAAGGAAATTTTATGGTTGATAAATATACATGAACAACGACCGCTTATGTTCTAACTCATATGTTTTAAGTCAATAATTAACCATGGAAAAACGGTCAAAAGAGCAACATAAAAATAGGCAGATCCAACGATGAAACAAAGTCTTGCGTGAGAAAAACAAGAGACATATCCAATGGCACAAACTCCTGGAGTTACTATTGTTACATCTTATAGTTACACAACTGCTGCAACCTTAGCTTCAAATCAATTCTATAAATAGAAATAAAATAAACACTAAATAAAGGTCATACATTTTGAAAATGTAGTTCATGAAAATAACTTGTACAAATATTTATATTTTTACACTCTAAAAAGGTGGTAAACCCTTAAGTAAAAACTATTAAAAACCTTTCACACGTGTACACAAATCATTATGTTAAAACATTATTCGTTCATTTGTGGCTCGTGCCTAGCAAGAAAGTGTTTTTACATAAAAGGACCAGTGGTATGTGACTTTTTTTTTACTTTGATGAATTTGACAATAAAGGGGTCCTCTCTGTTATGGTTTGTATGTCACATGACAACAAAACGGCTTCCTGCATGTTGACGTTAGTTGGCCACACTGACTTATTTGCCAGATAAAAGTTTTTTTTTCTCAAAAGTAGATATTATATTTTAAAAAATGTTCTTTTAGATATTTTAATTCGGAGACTCTAAATGCACTTAGCTATGATTAATATACTGTAAAGCATAATTAACATTCTGATGAAAACTATTATGGTTACCATGTCAATTTTTGTAAGGGCTAGTAATAAGATACATAATAAGAATATAAGCATGGTACCAGAGCGGCTCTGCGGTGATCAGTCAGGAGAGAGGAGCAGCAGGAGTCTCGGCGCTTACCTCCTCCGCTCCTGTAGCACAGGTACGGGAAGCGCCACACGTTTCCCAAACCCACAGCATAACCGACGGAGGCGAGCACGAACTCCAGACGCCGACCCCACGTTTCTCTCGGCTCCGCTGACTGGTGATCATCCTTAGCCGGCCTCATGGCTTCAGCATTGCCGAGCTCTACCTCCTCTTTTTCCTCAAGCTGCTGCAATGTAAACTTACTAGATGTGCTCTCGGTTTTATTATCAGCTCCGACTCCCATCATTACATACGTTTACAGCTGAATAAAGCGAAGGATGTCTCAACAATAAAAGAGTGCTATAATCATATAAAACACATACATTATTATTTTTTAAATGTAAAGACAACGAGATACCGCATTGTCTATAACTGTTCCAAATACATAATAGGCACAAGTCGTAGCAGCTTATATAGCTCAGTTACACAATTTTTAAGACCAGCCCCCGTAAACTAGCTATAGTTTCCTGTTACATAGCTGTCACGATACTGGCCCCGCCCTTTTAGTGACGCAAGTCGACTGTGAAAACGCGCTGCTCTAGGCTATGCAATGCTCATTTGCTCACGTGCGAATTAAAAATCGAGTCAAATAACGCGCATGCACGTGTAGAGGTAGGTGCGCTTCATGCAGAATTAATGTCGCCTGTATTACCGACTTGAAACATTATATACTGATGATGATAAAGGTTTTAATCGTGATATTTGACTACTGGACTCCAAATTTGAGGATTTAGATTGACCATATTGTAGACCAGTAGCCTGGGCTATGTAATTTAATACAAATTCAGCTAGTTAGAGGTTTAGGTTTACACGTAACATCCTCTTCTTTCATGTATGGAGTAAATGCACTTACAGGATTGTATTGCCGATTCATCATGAGTTTGCAGAAATGAGAGGAAGGAAGGCCGGTGCCAATAGGCAAATGATGGGGGGAAAGGCGGGATTTAAAACAAGTAAACCCACCCACAACTGCATCTGTTCATTTAGTCTTTCACTAAAGAAGCCATGCGTTTAACTTTAGGCCAGAGCCATGGAAAGAGAGAGTTGCGTCAACAGAAGTCCAAAACGATCGATCGTCACGTGATTCACGTAGACCTCAAATAGTTCCAGGAAGTTCATAGCGGGCAATTGAAATACATTGAGTTGGAGAGACATATGTTGACTTTTGTTATGCACTTATTTACAGCAATCGATTTATACATTTATAATATATAGGTAGAGAGGGCGGAAACGCCCCCCTTAAAGGGATAGTTCACCCAAAATTCTGTCATCATTTACTCACCCTCATGTCGTTCCAAACCTGTATGAGTTGCTTTCTTATGTTGAACATAAAAGAAGATATTTTGAAGATTGCTGGTAACCAAACAGTTGGTGGTTGCCATTGACTTCCATAGTAGGAAAAAAAAATATGTGTTCTTACAACTTGCTTGTTAGTCAAGTTCAATCACAAATATACCTATTGATTGTCGTTTTACTAATCTCATGGTAAATGTTAAGCTTGTTGTCTTAGAAAATTCATTCCAAATAAATGAAGATATTTTATTAAGTGAAAACTAATCTTGTTTAATGTTTTTGATTCTTGTGCACCCCTGTTATTAATATATAAAATATATTTGTAGTATATTCCAATTTTAAACAACTTAAAACATTTTTACACATTTAATCATATATTTTATGTATGTTGACTTTTGTTATGCACTTATTTACAGCAATCGATTTATACATTTATAATAAACTATAAAGCATGTTGT